TGAGGTGATGAGATGGACCAGACCCTGGGGGCCAGGCTGTAAGGTGTCAAGGTGCATCTGGCCCTGTGAAGAGATGACACCTCACTTCCCTCAACCCCCTGCTCACACACCTGTCAGGCTGCTTCTTGTACTCTGTATTTTTTCCTTTCCAAAAGAAGTAGAGGCTTTTTCCATGTACAATCCACTTTATATTGCAGGCCTGGGCTGCCTTCTCTCACCAGACCCTGGGGGCCAGGCTGTAAGGTGTCAAGGTGCATCTGGCCCTGTGAAGAGATGACACCTCACTTCCCTCAACCCCCTGCTCACACACCTGTCAGGCTGCTTCTTGTACTCTGTATTTTTTCCTTTCCAAAAGAAGTAGAGGCTTTTTCCATGTACAATCCACTTTATATTGCAGGCCTGGGCTGCCTTCTCTCCTGCCTCCAGACCAGGACCTGATGGTGGGCTGCCAATAAGCCAGCCCTCCTGCTCCTCTCAGCAGGATTGACCAGGAGCAGTGTGGGAACCATTTGTGGGACACCTCTCAGAGCATGGGTGAGTCCTTCTTGTCTTTGGGACCTTCTGGGAGCTTTGTGGTGTCCGTGAGGAGGGTGCTCACAGCTGGAGGGCTGTGGGTAGCTGGAGAGACCAGGTTCATGGCATCCAAAGGCAAGGGCAAGATGAAAGCAGCAGGTTTCTCTGTGGTGAGGGAGTGCAGTGCGTGGAGGTAACGGAGCTGGGCAGCAGCAGGGGCACTGGACAGGATCTCAGCTGCCATCCGTAGGGACTCAGAAGCAGCTTTTTCTCCCTCTGCAGCGATCACCTACCGCACAGGGGGAGAGAGGAGGTTTTTGTCAGGCTGGGAGTGAGGGGGCACAGTCTGTTCATAACAGAGAGAGGCTGTGAAATTCCCAGGGCCAGTGTGATTATAACATTCCTGCCCTTTGAAGATCACAGAATGTACTAAACCTCTTCATGCTGCCAAAAGTTTGGGAGCTCATGCCTAACCTGTTTTTACCAGGCCCATTGGAGCTCACAGCTGGGTTCCTCTTGCTAGACTCAGCTCTTGAACAGGAATTAAAGGAAAGATATCTTCCCAGAGCTGTGTGCTTGAGTGGCGTGCCCCATGGACCTCAAACCAGGGCTGGGAAAGGCAGGAGGAATGCTTTGGAAGGAGATGAGAAGTATTCAGAGTTGGCATACCCGTGCTTTGGCCTGTCTCTGGGCCTCTGCTTCCACAGCCAGGGACTGCCGGA